AAAGTCAATTATGAAATTAGAAGCACAATTTCCTGTTACACAAATATATGTGCGTGTACAACCATCATATCATAGAGTATGTCATCATGATATGAATGTTTTATGAATTGGAAGCTATTACCTTAACTTCCCAAAGAACATGCTTCTGAAAACATTTAGCAAAAATCATGTAATAATGTTGAAAACACAGCAGCTTCTGTAGCTCAGAACAGTGTGGTGTCTCCAGTGTGGTCGTGGGGGATTCGCGAGTAGATGCACTTTGTAGATTGAAACACACACTATGATAATACACCTTTCAAGAAATGGTATTTGATCTATAGAATAAAAGCAGCAATGATCAAACATAACGTGGTAATCTCTTCAGTCAGATCCTCTCTCTCCTCGCGCCTGCTGTAGTTCCGGCCCTGCCAGGTGCGGAGGACGAGCCTGCCAGGAGTTGTCAGCAGCTTTCTGAATTGGCCAAATCCAGTTTAGATTACTGCCCAACTCCAGCAGGCTCCCTGGACAGACCGCACAAAGAATCGTGTCCTTATTTGATATAATCACGAGAATTTGCTCGGCCAGACAAAGCTCCAAACAAACAGAGGGGAGGACGGAGAGGGAAAGGGGGCCAGAGGAGAAGAGGAATGAGGCCAGAGCAGACGGAGGGTGGATTAAAAAGTATTTCAAGTGAAATCTGCAGGGAGCATGAGGGCAAACGCTGGGATGTGGATTCAATCTACTACCTTAAGAGCCTTTGTTTGGGTGTGTGGTGAGGCATAAGAGATTGCATTGGGTGTCTGTAGAAGGATTTTTCTGAGTTTTTAAACTCAGAAACACAAGTGTTTTGGCTCAGTTTTAATCCCCGTCCATACTAATAACATACTAACCTGACAAACACACAGCATGCACCTGCTGGTGTACACAGAACAATAATAACCTACACATAACTGTATCGCTGTAAAATACAGAATTTGACTACACAACAGCTGTTAGCAAAGACAACAGAGTCAGCGACACTTGTAATTGATTATTCACGTTGCGTTCTACACTGGCAGCCGAAGCTAGTGTCTGCTGATTTATTATGGAAGGGGGGCCATGTGATAGGAGTGTGGCGAATCAGCGAAGGCTACATCGTGACTGAAAAAGACTCAATCAGCAAGCTGTTGTGACTGTCTCCACTTGATCGTTTCCAAACATCTCCATCCCTGGAGTTTTCAAACAAAAATGGGACCAGTAGCATTTTCAAACTTCTCACTTTTCTACAAACTCAGAAGCGGTGTGGACGCCAGGTGTATTCTTAACAGAGGTGATGGGTGAGAGACGCAGATTATACCTGCATGTTGAAGACTTCATCCGAGCTCTCTGATTGTCCTGTGATGTTACTGACTTCATTGGAGGCTTGAGACGACAGAGAGGACGAGGAGTAGCGGTTCACCGCCGGGTAACTGAGGGGACTGAGGGTGAGAGGAGGACAGAGAGAGATGGTTGTGGCATTTTTCCGGAATTGTAGACAAATGCTGCGTTAGCTTTGAGAGGTTTCACTCACCGAAAAATTCAGAACAGGCCGCACAACGTCAGATGAAAAAGTCAGACATGGGGAAGGGAACAAGACAAACAGGGAGAAAATGTCAGATAAGAAGGAAATAATCGATTCGGCAATCACAGCATTTCATCAAGTATTTGTCTGGAGAAAGGTCAAAGTGTAAAAGAAAGGTTAGGGAACAAACACAATGTGGTTTTTTAAAGGAAGGTGAAAGCGGACGACTGTAAACCAGTTTTGTGTTGGCAAACGAAAAGAAGCAAAATCAAAACTCAACAAGCAATACACGAAATGTCACTTGGAGATTGAGGTGATGTGACTGTCTGAATTCTCTCTGTGTGGCCGTGCCCCCTGGGATCGGACCGGGGAGGCAGAATGTCGCAGGTAGACAGAGTGGTAGGGTCACTGAACACATCAAAACACACACACACACACACACACACACACACACACACACACACACACACCGAGCCCAGATGGAGGCACACTCGTACAGAATGAAGGAAGAAGAAGAGAGCAGAGGCACAGAGCGTGATGTCCGAGGTCGGAAAAAAAAGGTGACGACCGATGTCTGCGGTGAAGGGCAGCACATCAAGAAAGCAAAGAAGGTCAGACACCATGAAGGAGAAATTCTGAAATGTATCCTGATCCTAAAGTAAATGAGCTTTTCAGTGCTTTTTAAACTAACTGACATGCAATTAATTCAGTGTTGGGATTTTTCTCAATCAAAAATCACAGAAAGACGAAACCTTGATTCATTAGAATTCAAAAGTTATTCCAAACTAGAAGTTATTTTCATATGTTCTGGGAGTGTGCCCCGGTGTTCAGATTCCGAAAGACGGTTCTTCTTATGCTGCATTCACATCGAACCAAATGGACAAAATGGTTGCCAAGTGTTAGAAGCCTCCAAACTCCTCCTCTTTTCTTGGGTTCTGATGTGTGTAGAGTTGTCGTCTGCTCGAGATCATGGAGCTAAGGGATCAGTTAGTTAGTTCTCATTCTCCACCTTACCCATTACTCATTCTCCAACATGGGTAAGATTCCTTTTTTTAAGTTTTATTATTTATTACTTAATTATTGTTATTTGGAAATGTATATTTTGTGTGTGAGTGAGTTTTGTTCCACCTTAGATACATGTTAAGTAAGTACAAACATACAGTACAATAAAAAAACATACATAAAACATAGAATATTACAGAAGAGAAAAAAAGAATTCACCTCCGCCTGACAATCCCTCTGCCACCGTCTGGGCTGATGATGTTGGGCACAGAGTTCCTGCAGGTTCGCGGGCTTCCATTGGTGAAGTGCAACGGGCTTGCGCCAACATAAGCAGGAAACTCCTGGGGTATCAAATTTGAGAAGAGGAGGTGTACATGATTGAATGTTCATTCATGCCAGTGTGCAGCATGCGAGTAAAATACACACAAATGCAGATGAAGTGTTGAGTGCTGCATGAGGAGTGCTTCCATAAAATACTCCACTTAATGATTTGAGCAAAAAAGATGCTACATGATCACTCTGACTACTCGCTTTTTAACTTATTTTACACAACACACTAAAGGAAAGTTGATCCAATTCTCCTACCTGTATGCCAAGACTGGACTTCATCAAGTGAAACTGGTCCACCAGCTTCTTGTGGAGAGGCCTCATGTCCTGAGGAACAACCTTTTCATGCACAGCGAGGCCGTACTCCAGGATGTGAGCCTGTGAGATGAGAGCTGCAAGTGAATCTCTCCTCCAACATCATCTGTGTATCTCTGCTCATTTGTTCCACACACAATAATAACAATAATAATAATGACTTTATTTATTTCACTTGAAATGCACAAACAATCAGAGCAAAGAAATAATAGACATGAGAAGATAAGCGTTTTATGCTTGGTTAAAATAAAATATGCACAAAAATCTGGGTTAAATCAGATACATCAAGTTTATCTCATCATCTGTTATATGTGCTGAAGCTTAACTGATAAATTGGCCAACATTAGTTTATCTGATTTTAGTATCAACATATAGTTGAGGTTTTCTAAATCAATCTTGTATTTATTGTGTTTATATAGTTGTTCACTGGAAAATGTTTAATTCAGTACATATCAAATGTCCATCTTTATATGAAGTCTATGGTTTTGCACAATGAAACCTACTTTTACATTTGATCCACTTTTAAAAAAAGACAGGAATATAATATTCATTTCTAATCTAAATGGCATTATAACATTGTAAGATTAAAAAACAACCCATGGTTCACTTAGTCGTTTGTTGAGGACAGTTTGACAGCATCATAAAATCTTTATCTGCATAAAGAGCAAGTAAGTGACCTTGTGTTGAGTGTGTTGTGTCACCAGCTGCATCCAAGGTTATTTTTAGTTTCCTTGTTGCAGATCATTATTATATCATATTGTTATTTTTTTTCTTTGAATATGAAACACATTATGAACAAACACTCCACCTTTAAATCTCTTATTTACCCACCTGTTCAAACATGAGCTCCCTCAGACGCCCGATCTTCTCTCCATCCTCGGGGTGATTCATTATGTAGTCCTTCACGAAAAAGGCCTGCGTGGAAACAAAATGCAGGAGATCTGTTATGCACACGCACCAGGAGCTGAAGCAGTGGCGCTTTCTGCATTGCAGTGATACCTGGATCCCAGCTGGGATGACTAAGTGAATTAGTGTCACTAAGTTTTTGTTCTTGTTGTTGAATCCTTAAAAAAAAACGCTCACGAAAAAAAACTTAAATAAGCAAACAGAGTAAACTAACAACAAGCTCAGGTGGGGTGTAATATTGCTGTCTGGGTTTAAGTGTTGTGATATCAATATCAACTTCAGGGACCAGAAGAGAGCTGCAAAGCTGCTAAAAATACACCAACTCTGTGCCAAACGGACGATAGAGGATTTAAATGATCACACTTTGATTTTGGAACCAATTTGGTCTCAGGTTTTGAAAGCATTTTTCATGTTCATTCATGTCTTTGCTTCCTGTTACAGATCACGCCTCTTCAAAGACATCATGCTCCTTGATTACTGCGCTTTCTCTTCGCTTTCCCAGACATATCCTTCCAAAAAACAACTCCAAAGAGAACCAGATGAGATGAAAAATGCCCCAGGTCCGCTCTGAATCACGATAACACCAGGTCCCCGCTGTTTGCGACGCCATAAACACCTGTGATGTGTCTGCGGATTATGGCAAAGGCTTTTCAATCGCCGTCAGAGTATGCAAAGAGGCGAGACAACGGGCCGATGAAATACCCCTGCTCACAATCACGCTTTATAATCTGCCACAGAGGGAAACACAAGGTAAAAGAAGGGATTGCAGAAAAAAGAAAGATCAGCACAATTTCTCCCCTCAGGACACAGCTGTCTATCTCCAAAGAGACAGAGCTCGATGACGATTAAAGAGCAAAAGATGCTGCTTCGAAAGGGAGCAGACACAAACATGTAGATACTCATCAATGAATGTATTCAACCCAATGGCTCAGTGAAATAAGGAACAATAGTATTCCAGTCAGATGACAGCCTTCATTAAAGAAGCAGAAATTAGTATGCAACGTTCATGATATCACGTTCCACTCATTTAACACATTACTACGTTCTTCGTCGTTAATGTGATAGTGAGTACAAATGCAGTGCAGGAATCTGAGTCAACAGCTCATTTTCTCTGGTTCTGTCACGTTGTCTTTTGGAGGAAGATTTGAGGAATGTGCAATACAATGAAATTCTGTTTCTAACCTGACTTATTTTCTGTGATGTACGGAGATGTTTCAGAAACAGAGTGATATTATCAACTGATATCACTGATCATTTTGTTAAGAAAAAAAGATTCAATTTCAAAGCTGAGGACGTAAATTCTTTGAATATTTATCAATTTAGAATGGTTAAAAAAAATATTAAGGAAGGGAGGAGGGAAGGAAGGAGGGAAGGAAGGAGGAAAGGAAGGAGGGAAGGAAGGATTGCATGGTGCGTGTGTGTAAGTATTGAAGGATTGTTACATACATACATATATTTCGGAATTGGATTTTTTGTGTTTAAGGTTTTTGTCTGCTCTTTGCTGAGTTAAGTCTCTTTGTCGAAATGTAAAAAATAAATAAGTATGTAAAAAGTACAAACGCAGTAGTGCCGATGTAGTGCTAAAGAGAAGTGCTGCGTTTCAGCAAGAAAAATTCCATCCAAGGACCTCCGGAAAAGCCAGCGAAAAAATAATCAATAATCTTCAATGAGTGATGGAAATTTCTCGTCGGGCTGCGGGGAGTGAGACCTCGCCGTGGAGTGGCTCAGTTAATCATTAGAAAAGTCCAATTAGAGATGGAATGCTGGGGGGAGGGGGAGGGGAGAATAAATCAGACAGCATTCCCCCTCGAGGGTCTCGACTCAAACTTAAGCAATAAATCTGAATATTAACAACGACAATTTCTCCTTCATTTGTTGCAGAGCGAGCCTCCACAGCTGTCAATCGGCATTACGCTGAGAAATTAATAGATTTATAGAGACGCGTTCCGCGGGGCACTGCTGCATGTGATATTCTGCAATGAGAAAAATATGCGCTGATGTGAGTGAGTGATGTGTTTACTGCAGAAATCATTCCATCTGGGTTCACCTCTTGCTAAATAAAACAGAAATCTGCCACTTTCTATAGTGTATAATACAAACATATAATTTAGGAATGGTTGGATGAAGTGTGAAGTTGGTGGTGGTACTGAAACAGCATTTATGCACTGGCAGGCATGGGAACGGTAGCCCCAAAATTATATTTAAGTGAAGTGCAGTACTCTAATTGTAATGGAAGCTGGAAACTATATTACATGCTTCTTTTCTTTAACAAAATAATAGCAATGGAAAGCACTTCAGTGAACCCGTGCCTTTGTGGCTCTATGAACAATCCTGCAAACCCTAATGGGCTACTTCTACACAGAGGCACGCTCTCCTACACAAACCTAATAAACACTCACGCGTTACACACACACATACACACTCATGCACATAACACACATGAACATTCAACCCCATATACACACTCCCGGTGGAAAAGAATGGTTGCTATGCGACAAAGAGCTTGTCGCCGGAACCACTCAGTCTGTTATGAGAAGATTCTTAGTTGTAGTTTTCTTCAATTGTGCTCCTCCTGGTTTAGAAATTGCTCCGCACTGTGGCCCTGCAATTGTTTTCCATCAGGGAGCTTTTGGAGGAGCAGTAGATACAAGTGTGTGTCAATGAGATTGACCATATATGGGTGTTGCCACTTCACCGTATGATACACCGGCTGCATTAAACACTCCCTTCTCATTCATTCGATCCTTCTATCCATCCATTCCTCCATCACCATCCATCTCATTTCCACCCCTTCCTGCTCGATACTCATCTATCCGTCTGCTCAAACTTTAACCCGGCCATTCATGCATCCATCCATCTATTCATCCGCTCCACCTGCTGCAAAAAGCTTTCTCTCCATACATCTTCTCACTAAAAACCACCTTCATGCATCATTAGACAATCCATAAGTCATAGCTTCTCACGCCTGCCTTCAGTTTCTAAAGAACCCTCCACGTATCCATCCATACCTCCTGGTAGCGGGCCAGCCCCCCGTTGACAGCGGCGTCGATGACCCCGTTCAGGCACATGGTGAGAGGGTTGATGTTCTGCATCTGCCGGCTCTGACACTGGGTGATCAATGTGCGCAACTGCAGATTCTTGTTCTCGATCACCTCGATGGCGTTCTCCAGCGGGCTCACCTCCACCTGCGAAGGGAGTGAATATAGAGGAGAGAAAAAAGTACATCAAGAGGCAGCTTTTTCTTCAAATTTATAGGGGGGGGGGGGGTGAAAACATAATATAGTGCTGAGGTGCATTATGGGAAGAGTTACAATGAGGACATCTTGGCCATGATGCCTTAACCATCTCTTTCCATAAGGGAAAGACAGCATTAATTCATTTTTTGGTCTCCACCACCTCCTCAGGGGAAAGAATCGGCCTCTTTAGCTTCTACATCTTCTACTACGTTCACCAGCAGGCTGCTAACTTTGTGTTTACACTGTTTGGTGCTGGGTCAGAAGCTTTTAGCCTCTTTTTTAAATGTAAGTGCTGCTTGCATCATCAGAAAACAAAGCCAATGCTGTCAGAATGAATCAAAACACCAACATTTTAGGCTGTGACACAAAAACAATGAGCTGAGAGGGAAATGCGTGGTTGGGTGATGTGTGTTTTTATCTCTACCAGTGACACATTGCACATCCATTTGGGCCACTGTTAATATAAAACAAGGATTGCAGCAGCTTTAAATATAAGACATACTCTGCATTACTGCAAACACACGCATGATTAGTATACGGTTATTTTAGCGCACACTCACGCACAAAAACAATCTTCTCCCTCTTTCTTTTTCTTCCTCTGTCTCCCACAAAGCTTAATCCTCTTGCTAATAGAGCTTTTGCCAGTTCTGTATTTTATATGCTATTGCACTGCATGACCATCATAGAATATCAGTGGGCTCACAAACCACAATTACACACAGCACGCGGCAGCAGCTCGGTACGAAAGAATATGCGCTTAGACAGAGACAGACACTGAGTTGTGTTTTGCATACGGTGGACAAAACAGTGTTTCAAATCCTCCCACTCCTCAGAGATCTGAATGACGAGATCCAAGACGAAAGGCTTCTGAGGGGGATTTACACGCAAGACGGTGCGGAAACGAACTCTAATGTGATGGTGATTCCAGGCTCAAAACAGGGTATTGAAAAAACAATTTCCAATATAAATCGATAGGAAAAGTTAATCAGGAAATACTGGTTGGAAAAGTAATGACGTTTAGCACGATATCCATCAATCCAATGTAGGAAATCAAATGTGTCCAATAGCCTCAAACTCATGACCTAGGCTCTTATTGTTCAATGTAATGACCTGGATCGATGCTGGGGTATTGGCCGGTCTTTCTCTTTTGTAATAAAAAAAAAAAAAAAAACACAATTGTATTATGGCGTCCGCTGTGCGGCTGCGTGTTGCAGATGTGTCTTCGTGGTTATCACTCACCAACTCCCTCTTCTCCACCTCGAACCAGCGGGAGATGCCCGGGAGGCTCTGGACCAGCGTCAGGGTCGTTCTCTCCACCCACAGGCTCTGCAGGAACACACAGCACACTCGAGAGTATTACTTCACATGCTGAAAATAATACAATCCATAGCTACTTGTGCCTGATGCACAAAATTTGATTAGATATACGTAGTTTGAGGAAAAGCATGTCGAGTGCACCTACTGCCAAACGCTCACTTTAAGGTGCAGGTAGATGGCTTATATCTCATATCATCATTCATGTTCCACCACTTAGCCTGTCAGCCAACATGCTTGTCAAAACGTCAACATCCCTCAAGGTCATTCTGACAGCACGTGATCTATGTAAACTACAGTATCATCTGGTGTTTGTTGTATGCACGTGAAGAAATTTGGGCTCAAGCTACACCAATGATCCCGGAGTTCCATCCCACCCGAGTCTCCGTCCAGTACTTTTACATAGTTTGCACTTCATGTAACATGTAAGTTGTTTTAATCAAGTGTTAGTTGATGTGCTGCTTCTTGTTCTCTAAAGATCCTCAGAACTGCAGTCAAAGTGTTTTAATCGCTTCCCTGTGGCTGGTTCCTGACTAGGTCATAAATCCTGCCTTCGCAGATGGGACATGGACCAAGCTAAAAAGTCAAAGTACACTTTAAATACATTTTTCAAAAGATGGTTCCTGTCATTTGCGTGTATCACGCTAATTTTTCTGATTCATTTGGTTTTGACAGCTAAGACTGACTCCTGATTGGTCGAGGGTGTGTATCTGGGAGACCTTGTTACTACGGCTCAATCTTCTCAGACTCCAAATGCGTAAAATGGCGGTGTCCTTAACTAAAATATTTGGCTTCATTCCTGGATGGCGGGAGGAAGTGGAGGTGCGTCATTCATCTTAAATCACAGTCTACATTCTTGATTAGTCTAATATGGTCTAAAAGGTGAAACTGTATTACTGTGATCACAGCGGTTTTCTGCTGAGCCCTCTCCACAGCCAAGTGAGGATCAAGGTGCTGACACAGTGCCGCTTAATTTAAGTTTAGGATGCAGTGTCTTGCTCAAGGACACTCCAGCAGGGCAGATAAGTGCTGACACTCCGCATCGATCCCCCATCCTGAGGTTGAAGTGGAGGCTTTCATGTCACTAGACGACCCCTTTGCCCTCTATTGATTCGGGGAGTTTTAAGGCCGAGGACCGCACCTGAACACCACTTGTGTTACAGTTTAGAGAGCAGGAAGTTAAAAGAAGAAAACAACTAAAGTCTCGACCTTTCTCCTGAAGACAGAAGCTTCTTTGGAAACAGCTTTTTTTATCTTTGCGTTATTCTCTTGACAGTGGTGCGCAGGAGGCTGCGTGCTCTTCGGTACCACGCAAAGGTTCACCATATATATTATTCTAACCTGAGGCCAGCAGTATCGAGTCCTGATGGAAATGGGATATCATGATTACATTATCCAAATAGCCTTGATGGAGGCGAGATAACACGGCTGCATGGTCCGTGTGTGTTAATACTGAATATTCATGAGCCTAATATCACGGTCTCTGAGGTGTGTGTTTTTGAGCGGAGCTTTATGCAGCACAGACTGGTACCAGTTTTTTTGAGTATAATTAGTAATGCAGGAGTCAAGATGAATAAAACATTCGCGACACGCAGACTAATATCTGGGTGCAGGTTCAAACTGTCACTACCTACACAGGCTCACGATCGATGAATGCGGTAAGGGAGGAAGTAAATGAAGGTGTTTCAGTTTGCAGTGAGAAAAAAATACAATCATAAATGTATAATTCAAATTTCTGAAAACATTACATAGCACGACATTTTGCAATGACTCCCCGCAGTAGGAGGCCACGAGTTCATTTTTAAAGGCTTATTTTCATATGGCAATAAAATCTGTGATTTTTATGGAGTGAAAAAGGGGAGGAAATTATACAGAAGATAAGAAATGAGTGCATGACATTGCCCTCTTTGCATTTGCCCATGCTTCATGTGGCTGTCTATGTTCTTCTGTATTTCTTGTGAGTTTTCCCCCTGTACCTTGAACTCGTTCTCCTTGTCTTTGGTGCCCTTGTGAAAGGGCCGGTCGTATCTGAACCTCCAGATGTGATTGAACTTGTAGAAGCTTTTGATGTTGTCGGGCACTCCGTCTCTCTGCAGCACGTCCTGACTCTCCGGGATCGGAGTTACGGCGTAGATCTGCAGGTCTGGGAGGCACCGGAAAGTTAAGGAAAGAAGCGAGAGAGCAACAAGGGAAAGCACTCGAGACCAAAACGGACAAGATTCTTCACTGACCTGAAAGAAAGAGGGGGAGAGTCGCGAGATGCAATTACACACAGATGACAAGAATACACACACACACCAGACAGGCAGGGGTTTGCAGGGGGGGGTTCAGTGCATCATCGGTGCCACATGAGAAATTTTAACGGATGGTACCAGAGGCTTAAAATTATTTGACATGAGTCATAACCACGAAAACAAATATGCGTAAATAGTTCCAAAAAACACCAATGTTAAGACAAGCAAGTGTGACACTGTCTGTGTCTCCTAATCCTCTGCTACATGTTTTTACGGAACAGATTTGAAGGCAGGCTCGATGTTGTTGGCCGAAATGAGTGAGAAGTGGGAGGAGGAGAGTCACGTTCAACACAACAGGCGTGATTGGCTGGAAAGACGTCATGTGAGAGGAGATGCTCCCAAGACAGATTATTTTTTATTTTGTGTCATAATGAACCAAAAGATATATGTACACTTCTTCTAATAACAACAAAGATCTCTAACTTTGTGTTTTGCTCTGTTGCTGTAGTGTACAGCTGTGTGCAGCACTTCTGGCAGACAAAGCTTTTACTGTCCACACAGACGAGTCAGACCTCATCGTATATGCAAGAACCATGTACTGCAGTCTGTGTACATGTCGCTAGGAATCTGTTGCATGTGAGGGCGACCTTTCTGCGTGTGCACCCCCGCCACTGCCCTCGACTGAAATCATTCTCTGAGAGACACTGTACATCGTGGGGATTTTGGCATTATTGATCCTACAGAGAAAATGAATGTAAAAATGTGATATCTTGTCTAACAGTCCTCTTGTGAAACCACATACAAATTCACTAGATTTGGATTTGGATCAGCACCAGATTGCGCACCCTAACGAATATCAGTCCCCCAGTATTTAGCTTGTCAGATGGAATCCAGGTCAAAGAAGTCCTCCATGTACTCACTGCAGCCTGAAAAGCTTGCAGCGATAAGTGCATCGTAATAAATGAGGCAATTCATATCAACATTTTTATCAATGTCGAGTTTCTCTCACCTGGATTATAGCGAGCGAGAGGAGGCTGCTCAAAGAGAGTAAATCAGAACAGTGTGTTTGTGTGGATTCCTGGAAATGGGCCGTTTGATAATGACAAGAAAGCGATTGTGAGAGGACGAGTGAAGCATGGTGGGTGATAAAGTGCCTCATTACAGGATAAAGTATATGAGCAGTAAGAATGCTGTGTGTGTATCTGTGAGTGAGTGTGTGTATGATGGGCTGCCTATACTCAACTACGTCTGCTCAGCATTGATGTATGTGTCCACAAACGCACGTTCATTTTGTTAGTGCGTCTCTAGAAAACCAAGGATACACTGTGCGTCCGCCTGGTAGATGGTCTGGTCCGGCTGGTTGACGTGCTGCATGGCGATGGCGTGGGGGAACTCGTTGAGCATCCGCTGCTGGAAAGCCTCCAGCCTCTCGTAGTCATGGCCGCGGCACACAAACTCCTTATTCTGCAGAGGGGAGGAGGGGGGAGTAGAGGACAGCGTGGGGTTAGCTTGACATCTGGTGGCCGCCTGCCTTAACTGCAGTCTCATCTGCAAACTCCACCAAGGACAGAGGCTGTTACATCATTAAATGGCATTGCAAAAGAGTTGCTGAATGTCACTTCGCTGGAGGAGTCTTATATAAGGAAGTTAATTCTTTCTGCAGGTCTTGTACGGAGAGGGTGAAAATATGACTGCTCAACTGTCACACAGGGAATATGGAGATTTCTTTACCCGTAAGAAGAAAGGGAACTTTTTTCCATAGAAGCCGACTCTGAAGAACTCAGGTTCTAGTCTCTGCTGGTCCATGATCTTGTCGTAGAGGGAGGCTTCCATCATCTAGCAACAAAATCACATTATAGCAACAAAAAAAGTTTTGTTCAAGGGCAGATCCAGGAGAGCACAGGCCCCTGTTTAATATGACTGAAGTGTCCCTGACTGTATTCTATTTGTAATAATAGTCACATACTAACAATACTAAGAATAAATACATCAATTTGTTAATCATTTTTATTTTTTGAAGTAAACAATCTGTCAGGACAAGGGACAATTTTCAAAACATACTTAATGAGGTGTGGCTCTGCTCAAAGTCACAAAAGGACTTTTTAATGCTTTTAAATGTCCCTTTATATATCACATAGGACATGTTTACTATGTGATTGTTCAATATCTTTATATTACCAGAAAATATATTTTTCTTATCGGACCCAAAAATGCACAAAAACATAAAATCTGTCTTTTCACAATAAAAACCACAAACAGGCTCAATAAAACATTGAGCCATCCTATCTTGGAATTGTGCATTGATCTTGGACACATAATTGGTCCCTTCGTGTAAATTGGCCCCCCCAAAGAAAAATCCTAATCCCAGATACCCTTTGGGCTTGATTACTTCAGAACTGCAGATTAACATGAAAGTGCAGAGCTTGAATAATGTTTCAAACTTGGTTTACTTCTTATTTGATTGTTCAAATTTGCATGTGGTTGGAGAAAGACTTCATCTAACAATGTTCTCCAGGGAGTGTGTCTGTGGCGTGTTTGTTGTGGAAACTCACCCTCATCTTGCTCAAGTTCCTGTAGTCGTAGTCAGACTCGTACTGGTCGGCCAGCTCTCTGCACAGGATGATGCCATTCTCCCAACACTAAACACACAAACACACAATTACAGTGATTACAACAAAAGGAAAATAAATCACAGTGTTCTCTCTCTGGTGCGGTTATACTGCTTCACCTCCACTGGATGGCACTGGTGAGTCAACAACGTAAGGAGTCAGATTTAGCCTCCTCATGCAGGTACACGCAGCTCTCAGCCATCTTGCTAATTAAATGGAATGCTTTCCTTCCCTGCTGCCTGCTAATCCCTGTTCGGCAGCATCGGCAGATGGTAGAGCTCATGAACGTGAAGGAAAATTGGACGATGAGTAATGAGAGGAGCGTTTTTAATGATTCCGTAGAGCTGTGTTATTTCAGCAGGGATGCTGATTTTTCTTTCCTTTTCCAGTGTGTGTGTGTGTGTGTGTGTGTGTGTGTGTGTGTGTGTGTGTGTATTTTGTTTCATGATGTCACTTTTCCCTGAGAGTGTGGTACAATGACACAGATACTGAAAACACTGCTGCAGGTACTGAATCTAATAAGCTCTGTTTAAGTCCACTCTTTCATTGCACCACCAAAGCATGACACGCTTCCCCTGTCAGGCCCGCCATCATCATCACCATCTCCCGTCTTCCAGGGGTGGTGCAGGTAGGATATTGTGGGGATGATACGGATGCTGCTTTAATTAGCCGGCTGCCGGCGATTCATCTGATCAAACCGAGAAGAGGAGCTGACGCCTCGAGCCGCTGTCACAGTTCACGAGAGGTGGAAATTAAATGTCTGACCGCAAGTGACAATTTTTTTATTACCGCTCTGCCATTTAATTTCATGTGAGTGACATCACGTCTCCAATAAACTCGTAATCTGTCATATTCTGTCCTGCTGCAGCTGCATTTAACGTAACAGATGTGTTCATGCTTATTATTCATATTTACAGCTGACATGCATTATTATAAAAGAACCATGTCTAATAGTGCTGTGCTTATTTTTCAATGCAGGGAAGTAGATGTATATTCTGATATTTTTGCATATTATTGAGTGTAACTAGAATGGCATTTGTTAGAGTATCAAGGCCGATCACGTTTGAATTCACTTGATCCAGATTTTATTTTGGATCTGCACCAAATGTCACTCAGGTCTGACTGTTTTCATCAAGATCTGTGAATTACTCTCAGAGAAATCAATGGCAATGTTGAAATGTTGAAAAACGCCTCTCCCAGTGTCTAAGAGAAAGAAAGAAAATCCTGTATTCTCCCACTGATCTGATCTGCCACAAAATGTAATGGGTTCTTCCCTGACCCATACCACATCCTTCCACCGAGTTCCATGGTAACCCATCCAGTAGGTTTTTTTTGAGTAATCCTGCTGACGAACAGAAAAACAAACAGAAGCAAAGATTCTTGCTCCAAAGTGATGTGGTACATTCCCTGGCATTGAGCTGTGTTACAAAACCGCTTGTCAAGTCCAGCTTCTTTTGTGTTGCTAGAATTATTGAACCGAAAATGGGTCTCCATGCAGCAGCAGCCTGTTTACAAGACAGGTCAGCAAATGCAAATGAAGAGCAGGGAAGAGAGGTGGAATAAAAAATGTGTGTGTGTGTGTGTGTGTGTTTGTGTGTGTGTTGCTGCCGCTCACCTTCCCCCTGTCGAAGTTCTGGACGATGGTGAGATGCAGATACTCTTTTCTTTGCCACTCGCTCTGCATTGGGTAGTTGAGGAACTCTCTGAGCGGTCGGTCAGACCACTCCAGCAACTCGTCGTACAGCAACAGAGTGTATGAAGCCTCTGTGACACACAAAATCAAACAGTCAGGAGAGAATGGCATCTAAAGGTAAAACATTAAGGATTTAGTGTCTCAGAAACATCTTTGAAACTATAACTCAGACTCGGATCAGAACAGATATACTGTGTGTTCACATGTTTTTCTGTACCTGTGTAGTTTTGTGCTTTCAAGTGCAGGTCGTACAGTTTGTGAATGTAGCGGATGTACATCTCCTCTTTGTTCAGCTCCGTTTTGTAGAAGTTCTGACAGCAGCAGTGGGCGGTTGGATGATGATTGAGCATAAGAAAGAGCAGAAAAAATATAAATTATAGAGTTTATTCATGCAAATGAGGACAATTTTCTCAAAGTGTGGCAGATTGTTCTGTGGTCGAGGCGAAACGATATTTTAGCTGGTGATGAGCAGCGACATCTGATCCATCTCCCACACACACACACACACACACACACACACACACACACGACTGTGGTTACATCAGAAAAACCTAGTAGGCAAAATACTTTTTTGTTATGTACGCGAAGAAGGATTTGAAAGAATAAATGTATATTCTAATCACAGATATAAATCATGGCTGCTATAAAACACACAACTACAAAAAACTGCAATAAAAACCAAAAAAAATAGTTTGGGCCAGAAATAAATTGAATTTGCTCAAATCCTAATCAATTCATTTTGTTACTCCAGTGATATTTCCTCGTCTCCAACGCAGAAATGAAGGTTGCTTTTATAATGTTACATCTGGAGAAAATTCCCAACATCAAACAGAAAGAGACTTTTTCAGAAAGTCTGGCATCCTATAATTTGCCTGATTGAAAAATCTGAGTGATCAGCCTCTCAGTCTTTGTGTCATTGGCCAATAGCTTGTAACTAAGTGTTGAAATATGTATAACATCACAACCAATGTGTTTATGGTTTTCTTTTTCTTTTTGTTTTTTTCTCTACTTATTTCTTTATTTGCCACTGTTTTGTCTTGTGTATTTGTTGCTGTGTGTTATTTATTTATCCTTTTTTCCGCCTCAGTGTCATATCTTCAGTGAAATCAAAGCCAAAAATTTGAATACATATTCAAAAGGTGAAAGAATGTTTGACTGTTCATTTTAAGATTCATTACATCAGTGATTCTTTTGAAGACCCAGTTTTGGAAAAGCCTTTTAAAAGAGAAAACAGGCAGAACACAGACACAGAGAGTGACTGCTACTCACCAGTAAACTGACAGTACATCCAATCTTTTTACCATCCACCTCTCCCAGCTTCATACAATCCCTACAAAAGAGGAGAAGCCATTAGACATGTCGAAGATATGATTGAGAAGGACAAAGTGAAAATGTATTGTGTGTACATCCACCTGTAGTCCAGCAATCTCTCCATTAAGCGAGTGACGGTAGCGATCAGAGAGATGCCGCTCTCCCTCCACGTCTCTCTCTCAATCTTCTTCAGCAGGCTGGAGGACAAATGAAGACAGACAGAGCGAGACAGAGAGATGTGAGGACCAAAGGAGACGAGATGTAGATGAGGGCAGATGAGGAGGGACGGGCGATTGGGGGAGGAAAAGAAAAGGAGGTGAAGCAAAGAAAAGAAATCCCAGTCACACCAGTGGCACCTATGCTTGCTGGCCTGAAAACAAAACAAAATACCCCCCATAGAGGCAAACAAATTCCCAATAGATGATTTTATTGTTAAATGTTTAAATGTTGCAGTTGATTTGTTTTCCCCCTGTTGCCCCCTCACACAGACGACACTGAGAGAACAAAGAGGAGAGCGTCTTACCTAGGGTACGGACCAAACAGAGGAATTCTACTCCAGGCGGGAAGCATAGGCGGAATAAATTAATATTAATACTATTAATGTCAGCACACACAGTCACACAGGTTACTTCAGGCGTTAGTGGAGTTAGTGAGAGGAAAATAAATGAACTAATAAATTCATTAAGCAAGGAAACATAAAATTAAGGCTCATAAAAATCTGACTTGTAATCTGCATTTAGATTCAATTATAAATCAGCACAAATGACTTCTTATGCATAATTAAAATATACAACACAGTATAGATGTATACATATGTGATTTATGTACTTATATAACACTATTCTCTGTATTAATTCACATATAAAAATGGTGGCCAAGACAATGATTGACTATGAAAGACCAAGGGACAATTACAGTAGATGTGTATATTGGTGAATACTTGGATTCACATGTTTGTGATACTAAGAGAGACAAACAGTATGTGTGTGAATCAGAAATATGGCTTTGTTCTGTGAAATAATATTTTTAGGTGTTAAGGTGTAAGTTGAAACAGAGGAGTGTGTAGTGAAGAGAGACATAAAGATATGAAGAGGCAATGAACCACGAAAAAAACAGGATACACACACACACACACACACACACACACAAACACACGCTAAAAACAAATAGCGGCGTAAGCACATACACAAAGCATGCAAGAGCACAAACCTGGAAACACAAGGACAGAGTGGACAAGGACTGACCGTGGAGGAGGTGGCCGTGATGATGAAGGTGACTCAAGATGAATATTGATCACTTACCTCTTAATATTAATATTTGAACAATCACCTCCAAATCCACACTTTAAAATAACAAGCTACCCAAAGATGAAGGTCTTTGTACACCAAGGGCATCACCCAATTTAAACTGTCACGCATTGAAACCGTGCACACAATGTTCTGTTTTATAATATTTGTTTGGAAAATTTGATAAAGATTTGATAAAATATCAGCACTGAAAACCTAAAAAACTAATTTCTGTGATCCTGAACGGCTCAAACATCTCTCTCTGGAAGAACCGTGCACAGACTTTTATTCTTTACCAACAAACTTTCTTTAAAAATGTTTTTTAAATCAAATGAAATTCGTTCAATTTCAAAAAACACTTTCCTTATATCAGCAGGTTCTGTAATGAACACTTTAACAGTGAACTGTTATATTCAGGTGGAGCAGGGCTTATCTGAGGAGTAATGCCATCTGTCATCTGTCATCTTAAAAGCTTGTTTTCCAAAGCAGAATACTGAGACGCATCCGCTCACCGATAAAACGTCCGTTTAACGAGGAAAACGACCTGCGAGGTGTCGCCCATGGCATTTACCTGATGAGTCCTGTGTGGGTCGTACCGCTGCGATCTTGAGACTCCATAAACGGCTATTTTGACTGTCATTGGGAGCGTAATGGTTTGTCCTGAGCTGGCCTCTGTCCAAGCCAATTTGTCACCGCTGTTGCGATTTTACTGTCGAGCTCTGCCACTTAACCACAAATGCTTTCCTTTAAAAAAACTGGGTAAATATGCACCCCCGCATCAGCGTCTATTCCCGTTGCTTTGTGTAACTCACATGCTGTTGAAGAGCTCCCTGTACGTCTCGTCTCCTTTGCCCTCGGACATCAGGCTGTCCAGTTTGTCGATCAGCTTGGCCTCCACCTGTGAGGAGGAGGAGAGCGATTAAATCTCAAAGGAAGCTGCCGGATCAAACGATAGCAGTTAAACGACTGGGAGGGAAAGCAGCGTCAGTTGTTCAGAGATTTAAATCTTCAGTCGTTTGATGCAAGAACTCATTGAAAGAAAGTTGATTAATGAGAGATGAACTTTTCCTGCTGCGTACCTGTTTGAAATTGCCACTGCGTCTCTGCTCCCAGTCCATCATGTCGTGGAAGATGGGGATCATGACGTTCCTCAGATCGGGCTGCGGCACCAGCGTCACCTCCAGGAACGGACCAATCATCGCCGGGATGAAGTTCAACTTGTGTTCACCTGGAGGAGAGAGGCGACACGGAGCTCAGAGACTGAGAGCAGGTTTAAGAGCATCAACCAAATTATATCAATATAACTTCTAATTAATTTCTGTCATATTGAAACCAAATGTTACAAACACTCAAATTAAGTGGCTTCATGATGTTAACCTGCCTGTAATTATTATAAAGACAATGTTATAAATCCATCAGTGATGCGGAACAGAACCCACACAAAGCACAGTGAGGCATCCAGCTTGTTGCCATGGTGACAAATAATTTTTAGCATAAAGTTAAAAAAAGCACAAGAGTTCAAAGAAACACGAGAGTTAATTTTCCTTTCCTAGGGAAACATCTTGAGTCTGTTAGAGATACAGGACATGATGGAATAAGACGGTTAGCTTTAAATCACTTCATGGTATTTCTTCACTATGATCTTTTATGGATTTTAGGGGTAAATTAAAGATTTGGTCGCCCTAAACTACAGAGCAGAGATGTTGACCCCATGTGAGGAGTCCTTTAGGCCGTTCCAAAGTTGAGGCTTCAATCTAAAGGTGGCCGTCTTTGGAACGACCTGCCTGAGGAGATGAGGCTTACAGATTCCGTGACTTCTTTTAAAACCTATTTTTATAGACTTGCCTTTACGTGATGTCATCTTTTTTACGTTTCATTGATTTTATTCTTTTTATTTCTATTAAATTGATCTTTTCTTTTTCTTGTTCCTATTCTTTTATTTGCAGTTACTGTTTAAATGTGATGCTTTTCTCAAATAATAATAAAAACAACAATATAGTCCATGTTAAGCATGTGTGATGGGCTCATCTATGTTTTATCATCTTACCTAAATTCTGCCACATGCTGAAGATCTCACAGCCCATCATCACCCTCATGTCTCCGTACCTGCATGAGAGAATGTCATGGTGAGAAATCTGTGCTCACTGCAGACAAGAAGAGCATGTTAACTACTTGTTATGCTGTGTGTGTGTGTGTGTGTGTGTGTGTGTGTGTGTGTGTGTGTGTGTGTGTGTGTGTGTGTGTGTGTGTGTGTGTGTGTGTGTGTGTGTGT